ATATAATTCATGATAACAAATACAATTGCTGACCATTATGTAGACCAAAGAGCATCATCCAAGTACAAAAGGAACTCTTGCCCAAGGGGAGACACTTGTGGTACAGTGCTACATCATTTCACCATCAGGGTGCTATAGTGGTGCTTCGTGAGCAATAGAATGTGTAGACAGCCTTTATCTTCTAAAACAGGATACCCGAGGTTTACAAAATGGCACAGACATAGGAAGGAAGAATTATTATTGTTTCAAGTGATGACACTATTTTTATTTAATACTAGCCTGTGATGCTTACTCATCCACATCATATGCAGTCTTTGCTATAACAATCAGTGTTATAGCGAGAGAGGACAGGGCTTTCTCAGAAACATTGCTCCTTAAAGTTTGGCAATATATGATTTCTCCCAATATCTATATCCTCCGTAATTGTTGACTAACTCATGTAGGACCTTGCCAGAAGTATAAAAGATTGAACTCCATGAAGACACCAAAGCACATATACAGAATAATCATAGCTTGTCAAGATAGGGGCATGATTGTGTTTGATCTCTGGACCACAATCATGGTCATTTTGCTCTCCTTTGGATCTTTCTGTGTTATTAAGCAGGCCTTATTATTGCACTGAAAGCTGGTTATGAACACAGCTAAAGAACAGATATTACAATGTTTCCTTCACAAGCCAGTATTTTGTATGTAATGGAAAGGAAAGTAATATATCTGAACGTTTTCTGATTTTGATTTGAGATTTATAGTCTTAATACAACAAGTAAAACTAGCCATTTCCTCTTAAAAATAAATATAACATTGAAAAGCTAACTGATATAAGAACTTATTAATGTTAGCTGCTATAGTTGAATGCTATATTCATTCATAATGGGCAGAAAAACAAGGATAAAATCATATGAACAGATAAAAGGAGCTTTTTAGATTTATAGGAAGTCATACATTCTATTTCTAAACTTCTTTTTGCAGCTGCCAATTTTTTTTTTTTTGGCTTGTAGAAACAGACACTGAGCTTGACTCACTCGGTCATGAGCACATCTCAGAGCTTAAATTTCCTGACTGCCTAGAAAGATCAGGATGGATGCATATATGGAAGGGCTGGCTACTCCTTACTCATAGTGGCTTTTGCCATACCTACTGGTAGGAGAAGTCAACTTGGGACCAGTTGGACCAACTCCACCAACATGCTTGCTTCTGAAAAATGAATCAAAATGATCCACTGTAGCCAGGGATAAGTCAGGAGTACTGGCTATACAAACCTGTCATCTGTGAAACTTCAGAGGAATTGTGCATTTTAAACATCTTCCCTTGCAGAAGACGTAAAACAGTTACTAGCCCTGAAGTTAAAGTAGTTTCTGTATCTTTATTTATAGATGTGGAAGAAAGTAGTTTTTATTATGTTTCTCTAGAGAAATGAGATGTGGCTTAACAGTTGATTCTTTGGGGTGGGGTAGTGTTTGGCTTCTGGAAGTGTCTCTTAATGCCAACTACATACACTTCTTTTTGATATTGAGCTTGATATACAGGGTGTACTAAAAGTCAATCACAGTATGTTTTATAGATTTTTCTTCAAAGAAAATGTTACTGTACTTAGAAATATTCAAAGGTCATACATTAAATGAGTAAGGAAGTGTTTAGAAATAAATGGCAACCAATTCTAACATTTAATATAATGTATATAATAAATAGTCTGTGGAGCCTGACTTTTAGTACATCCTGTATATTTATATCATATTTTGTAGTAGATCCAGGAACCTGTGGAGTGAGTGGCCAGCTGGCTCTTTGGGGATTCCTAAGTAATCTACAAACATAACAACCATCCTTTTCAAGTGAGAGGCAGAGGATGGAAGTCAAGGGGAAAAAATCAGGAATCTGTTTCTGTGGAGTCTTGGCTGATGGTCTTGGGGAGAAGCAAGGGCCTTATGAAACAGATTTCATGTGACTGAGCCTAGGAATTCAGGCCCATCACCCAAGTCTTAGGAGATTTGGAACCAGCAAGTTAAATTTGGCAGGGAATGCGCAGTTAGTCATGTCAGGAATCATTTGTTTTTTTTTCAGTGTGGCTTACTCAGTTTGGGTAGCTTTATGTGCACTCCTATTTTTGGTCTATCTCTTAGTCTACTCAGGCTGGTTACAGGTTAATGATGACTACCTTTGGTATGTGTCTCTCAGCCTCACACAAACTGTTACATCTCAAGTATTTTATCAAATCTTTGTTGTCTTTATTAAGATAAAATCATGTATTCTTTTTCATTCCAGGGTGGGGTTTGTCCTTAGCACCCTGCATTCGGAAACTACTTGGGCCTGGTAACCTTGGTTCAAAGGGCAAAACTGGAGCCATTTATTTAAAAGCTTATATCTGGGGAAGGAGGAGTTTCTACATCTAGAGTTCAGAAGTGGGTAGCATCTCCCCATTCCAGAATAGGTGGTAGTAGATTAGCTACCTGCCCAACTGGAATTGTTTCACCTGTGGAATAGCCATACCCAGACACCCCATGACTCAGGCAGAGGGGGTTGAGCATGGAGTTCCCAGAAGGAGCCTGGCAGGTTTACCTGGATGTTGATTACCCCAACCTCTTATTCCCTGCTACATATTTATTTCCTGATTTTTTTTATATATCTATCTATCTATCTATCTTAGATCCATGATAAATTTGGTGTGTTTTTGTTCAGGTCTTTTGTAGGTCCAACTTTAGGCGGATTCTTAAATGAGAAAGTGGGTTTTGAATGGTCTGCAGCCATACAAGGAGGATTCTCATTGTTAAGTGTATGTACACTAACATGATTTATTCATTCTTTTATTATATTTAAATCTGAAATATCACAAATATACTAATAATTGCTTTCTGTCAAGGGACTGGCATCTGCAATTTTTTACATTTATGAAGCCATACAAAGGAAGAGGTACAGTGAAATTTTATTCTTTTTCTTAAAATCTGATGAAAGGAAGGGAATACTTTGCTACTGATTCTCATTTAGACTGCAAAAAATTAATGCCAATTTCTGTTAGCTCTTCTATGTTATTACTGGATTAATTGGCTGGGTGTTTTTACAGATATCAGCAGATGCCATTCAAATAGCATTATGAACAACATGCCAACTTGTCTCTTAATTTCGATATTTGCTTTTAAATAACCCATTAAATGAAACCAAATTAATCACTGGAAAATAACTGCATTGCTAAACATTCACACTGAGAGTGTTAGCCTACCCCAGTGTTGTCCAAACTTGGCCACTTTAAGATGAGTGGACTTCAACTCATGCTGGCTGGGG